ATGCTGCCGGTTTTTTATAGTCAAATGCTACCTCGTTAATTTATTGAAATCAATCTAAATTTGACGCGCCATAGCTACATCAAACATTAATAAAAACAATAATAATTACAAAATAAAAACGCAACAACACTGTTTTGGTAGTAGAAATAGAGTTTTTAATGTTTTTGCGAATTTAATTAATTTAAAAGCCATATCTTTAGTAAAAGAAGTTTTAATATTTGGAATAAATTTTGTGACTTGAATTCTAAATGATTTTGTAATAGATCGGACTTGTCACTGCACACATGTTTTGTGCACTTTCAACCGAATTCTCTTTGTTTCAAGACGGAAAAGCTCTTCGCAATTTATCTCGTCCTTAAAAGCCGGAAACGCTTTTTTGCTCTCCGTTATGAATTCAATTAGTATCATTTTGATAACAAGTAGCACCAAGCGATGCACTGAAGCCATTGTTCTATTTCCGCCTATCATGACAATACCTATTCTGCACAATCACATCCCCGACACAGTCCTATATATCACCGTCATTACGGCGCAAAAGATGGGGCTACACACGATTAGTACTCAACTACACTCAGCAAATATACGGCTTTAGCAGGGTGATACATAGCTGCCAGGCTACATATCTTCAAGCTGTTGAGATACATTTGCACAATTTGGTGGCGCAAAACAGGGACTTTGCCGAATTAATTCGGATATAAATACGTGTCGCGGTTGGCTTTAACTCTATTTTAACACGGTTTTATTGCCGGGGGAAGAAAAACAAGAGCGATTTGTGGCGTTTGTCAACGGGTCACTACAGAAAATTGCAAGATGTCAACCGAGTTTATGGATGAAAAAGTGATTGATGAGACCAAACTAAAATAAAAAAATTAATAATACGAATTTAATGGGAAAATCCCAAATAAAAACTTCTTAATTTCCAAATTTGTGAAGATCAGAAAAAATCTAGCAAAATTTTCAACAAATCAGAAAATTTTAAAATGTCACCGAAATGATTTTTTGCACTTTTCGTGGCAAAATGTTTCATTTATTTTAAAAACTCTATGTTTGGGTACTTTTAAGTTTTGAGTGTTTTCATTCTGCTTTTCAAATAACTTTTACCATACTATTCATACTAATTTCTTTGTGTTTTTAATTGCGATAAGAGATACTATGTTATATGTTTATCTTTGCACTTACCTTACATTGTGTTTCTTACGCTCCTTTTTCTTTCATTTTTTAGTCTTCTTTGGTACAGTCTATATTTCTGTTTTCTTACATTTGTCTTTTAATACTTCTTAATGCTTACATATTTATTTTTTATTTACATAACTTACGGTTTTATACGCTTTTTATTTTTTAATATGTAGGTTGTTTTATAAACAGAAAAATTGCGAAATTCATGTTTGGAATTTAAACCCAAGTCCTCTACATTCTGGAATAGTGCTCATTTTGTTTTTAAATAAAAAATTAAGCTTTATTTATATGTATTTTGTATTCTTTGTTTTATTTGTTATTTATTGTTGTATAAATTATACAGGGTGTTTACAGTCTTGGAGTTGAAAATTGACCTAGTAATAGAAGAGTACAGAAATACTGTAACCGAGAAAAAAACTCATACTATTGTTATTATCAAGAATGTTTTTTAACTCCAAAATATTGGTACACGGTTTGAGGTTCACTGGAATTATTTTCTTCTTCAGATAATTGTTGCAACAGATAAAAAAAATCGTATCCGTGAGAATGAAAGAGAAAAGTCACTTCATAGTTTTGACACTGTCATCATTTGATTTGCTTTTACTTTAGTTTTTATCAAAATTCGAAGATCTTTTGTTTAATCTCTTTCAGCGAATGGTTGGTTTCCAATAGGTTTGATTCGTTTTTCTTAATTTTTCTCCAAATTTATGAACACGTAAGACAAAATATTAAAATAATAAATTGGTTGTCGTGATTATGATTTACGGTGAAAAACAAGGTAATGATACTAATGGCCATTGTTGCAGCCGAAGCAGAAGTTCTCAAACAAATAGTGTAAAATGAATAATTTCCTTTAACAACGTGAATTTTTGTTTTATATAGCGTATTAGTCTTATTCTACAGTAAATATCATCTCATTTAAATTTCAACCTCAAGACCGTAAACACCCTGTATGTTTTTTAATTATCGATACTTTTAATACTGTAAAAATTCTTTTTAGTAAAGAAAGCTCTATTATTATTGTTCTAATAATGATAGAATATAACAATACTATGTACTCTGTAAAAAAGTATCGGGAATTTTCGATTTAAAGAGTTCACGTAGAAAATATCTTAATAATTCTTGTCTGGTATATTGGTACAACCATATTATCTTAACAAGCCACATTTTACCTCTATAGGTCAAGTGGTTTGTTTAAAATTGTTTTTACCATAACTTGTAGTTAAGTCAGACTCGCGATTTTTGTTATGGATTCCACAACCGATCAGAGAATTTGCTTGAATTTCGTGTTACCAACGAAAATTCGTGTAGTAAATCAGTAGAAAATTTTACAAAAAGCCTTTGGGGACTCATGTATGTCAAAAACACAAGCATATGATTGGTACAAAACATTTCAATTGGGGCGAAAGGAGTCAACAGCAAAGACGGTGGAAAATGTCAAGAAAATCAAAGAAATGCTGACTGCAAATCGTCACTTAAATTTAAGAGTAATATCATTTGGCCATTGTGAAATGTTTATAAAAAATGTTTGCTGGAAAAAAAACAGATTTGTGGAAAGACAATTCTGGGATTTTGCACCATGACAGTGCGCCAGCACACACAGCTACAATTCTGCACACATTTTTCGCTAAAACCTCAACAAATGTCATCAATCAAGCATCACATTCAGCTAACATGGCACTATGTAACGTTTTTTCTGTTTCTTAAACTTAAATTATCCCGCGAAGGCGTTTTGAGTCCATAAAAAACATAAAACCGAATTCGTAAAAAGAACTGAAAGCCATACCTTCCGCTGTTTATAAGAAGTGTTTTGATGATTGTTTGGGTACTTTTAAGTTTTGAGTGTTTTCATTCTGCTTTTCAAATAACTTTTACCATACTATACATACTAATTTCTTTGAGTTTGAATCTTTTTAATTGCGATAAGAGTTACTATGTTACTCGTATATGTTTATCTTTGCACTTACCTTACATTGTGTTTCTTACGCTCCTTTTTCTTTCATTTTTTTGTCTTTTTTGGTACATTCTATATTTCTATTTTCTTACATTTGTCTTTTAATACTTCTTAATGCTTACATATTTATTTTTATTTACATAACTTACAATTTTATACGTTTTTTTATTTTTTAATATGTAGGTTGTTTTATAAACAGAAAAACTGCGAAAGACATGTTTGGAATTTAAACCCAAGTTCTCTACATTCTGGAGTAGTCCTCATTTTGTTTTTAAATAAAGAGTTAAGTTTTATTTATATGTATTTTGTATTCTTTATTTTATTTGTTATTTATTGTTGTATACATTAGATGTTTTTTAATTCATGAATAGGTACTTTAAATGCTGTAAAAATTTCTTTTAGAAAAGAAAGCTTTATTATTATTTTTTTTAATAATGATAAAATATAATAATACTACTCTGTAAAAAAGTATCTGGAATTTTTTATTTAAAGATTTCACGTAAAAGATATTTTAATAATTCTTGTCTGGTATATTGGTACAACCATACTTTCTTACCAAGCCAAATTTTACCTCTATAGGTCAAGTGGTTTGTTTAAAATTGTTTTTACCATAACTTGTGGTTAAGTCAGGCTCGCGATTTTTGTTATGGATTCCACATCGATCAGAGAATTTGCTTGAAATTTTGAAAATTTGTGTAGTAAATCACTGGAAAATTTTGCAAAAAGCCTTTGGAAACTCATGTATGTCAAAAACACAAGCATATAATTGGACCGGAAAGAGTTTCTCGTTCTGGACGATCGTCAACAGCAAAGACGGTGGAAAATGTAAAGAAAATCAAAGAAATGCTGACTGCAAATCGTCACTTAAATTTAAGAGTAATATCATTTGGCCATTGTGAAATGTTTGTAAAAAATATTTGTTGGAAAAAACCAGATTTGTGGAAAGACAACTTTGAGATTTTGCACCATGACAGTGCGCCTGCACACATTTTTCCCTAAAACCTCAACAAATGTCATCAATCAAGCATCACATTCAGCTAACATGGCCCTATGTAACGTTTTTTCGGTTGCTTAAACTTAAATTATCCCGTGAAAAAAGGCGTTTTGAGTCCATAAAAAACGTAAAACCAAATTCGCAAAAAGAACTGAAAGCCTTACCTTGCGTATCGCTTAAGATTGTACATAGAGACATTTTACACTCACTCGCAGACCGTTTAGTACACATGCAAATTATATTAAAAAAAAATCAGTTTTGCAGACGACTTTAAAAACTTTTTGTGTTTAGCATTGTGTTGGGGTTAATGGCCAGGAAAAATGATTAGATCGGAATTAGCCCCTCAGTCATGAATATGGAGCAATCAGCGTTATGCAATTTGGCCCTGTAGCATCATAAATTCAAATTGGCGTAAGTTAAGTCGGGACTCATAATATATGTAATATGCCACAGGGTGGGTTCATCACGTGCTTTTCTCAAGAGGGGCATAATCAGATGTATTCTGAAGTGTTCCAGTCGGTTCACCTTAAATTTTGTTGTCGAATATTTTGAATCTTGTAAGAATCAAAATAGAAAAATTAATTAAGAGCGAGACAAAATTCAATCTATTTTCGTGATTGAATTTTCAACCCGCATTCTTAATTAGCTCGACTAATCTTAAGGTAACTAGCTGAGTACGAGGGTGCAGTACAGTCGCAATTTACTCGGTTAGTACAGATTGCAATGTAATTTGGCATAGAAATGGGGGAGAGAAAATTCCATCTCGTAAATTGGCCTTAGTCATTCAACTGCCGAGAGGCAAATAAGAAAGTTTGGGGGACAGGATTATTAAAAATTTGATTCACACTTATCGTAATAAAGTCATTTATTGCGGTTTTTCAGTAACAGTTTTACTGCTAGGTAGCAGGATATGTACACTCAAGTATAGTACAACATTTAGAATCTACACTTTTAAATTCTTACAAATAATTCGGAATTACAATATTACGGTATGTACAACCAATCAACCGGATTACAGTCTTCAGACTTATTACTACAGGATTCAGTCGCCAACAGAAACCAAAATAAAATAAAATTGTAATTAGTTTCAAGTTTGGTAGTTTCTGTTCACGTCTGTACTTTTCTAATAAGACAATAACAACAAACTTTTCCAGATTGATTCAACAAAATTTGTTTCTAAAGCAGACTACCAATAATACGCTTTATAGAGCAAATCCTTTTGGAAATAAAATTTGTAAGACAAGCGCAAATAGTCGGTCGAACCACATCCCTACATATAAAAAATATACTTCAACAACCAATTTGATCAGTTTTAATAAAAAAATATGTCGCAAATGTTTGGAAGTAAAAACATCAACACTGAAAATTCGTACCACGTTTTCCGGATTTGGCTCCGCCAAAATTTGATTACATTTCCGTTCGAAACATTTTGATATGGATTTCACAGCAAAGTCTCACAACACACTATTTTTATGAGTATCCGTAACAAATTACGTGTCACCTGAGTATAAGTACCACTGTCAACACTAGCGTGACGGGAAAATGAAATATAAGTGTATTTCCGGTGGCACTCGAGTGGGTCTCTAATTCCAAAGGGGCCGGAGCGACGCTGGGAAATAGCCAATTCTCCGATGGGTCCTCTTCCACGCCTCTCACCCCGCCTGAAAAAATGCCATTAATTACAATTGAAAAATAATCCGGTTAATACGAGACCGACTTGAGGACTTTTATTAGACTTTCGGGACGACAGCTTTGAATCTGATTAAATTTCAGTGTAAACCCGTAAACCTATTTATTGAAATAATATATTTCTAGGTGTATGCTTTTTCGAGCAGCTTGTTCTTTATTGCCCAAGTTTATTTAAGTCTTCCAAAGTGTTTTTCTGGAAGCGCTATTGTTTGCTTTATGACTAATATTTCACACTTTACAATCTCTATTTCACGTTGGTATTAAACTTGGAATTGCTCGATTATAAAGCGATTTTTGCAAATGCGCAATTGCACGATAACATATCGAAAATTTGCAAAACATGAATAACTTTATATCAGCGCAAACGTAACGAAAAGCGTTAATAATTTGCGCTATGATCAAGCTTTAATTTTGGTCAATTCTGAGAAGTATTGAACGTAAATGATTTCAATTAAAATTATTATCGCTCAAAATTCGAACAATAACTATATGTCAATCAGCTTTCGCAAGCGAAAACATATTGAATACATAGAAAAAAATGTGTATGCTACATAAAAATATATAAAGTTATGTTTACCTACTCATTATTGGCAATCGAGCTACATCTGACCTACATTTCCTTTTATTTCTCTGAAGATGGACTCTGTGCAATAACAGATACGTTATTTTAGTGTAACATTAAAATACACTTGAATTAAGATAACAGCAAAAAGCTTGTGGCACTTAAACGAACTTTACTTCATCCCGTCGTAATATGTGGGATTTTTCAGATAAAACTTGACCTGGTCTCATTTAACCAAATACAAACATGATACCTATTAAACTTATAATTGGATTACATTTCCTCCAGGAAATCTGAATTTCCGGAGATTAGTTATTGCTCTAATAGTTCCATCTCTTTTTATTTAAATTTTAGGACTTAAATTTAAAACGAATTGTGATAGATGGGTAACGGTCATCGAGGTTAACAAACAATAGAAGTGCTCATAATTGACCCCAGGTTAATAGTGATCGATCTATTCACTGAAACCCAAATTTATAGCCTGGGGCTTGTATTTATATAGGTACAAAAGTGAAAAGTCAACAGAGTGGAGAGAGAAGATAATGCAGCCATCTATCTGTCACGAAATTAATAAGTGTCGAAAAGATGTCTCTGTTGTCCTTTCTCTCCGATCAATGTTTATCTTTAGTAAACGTTTCACTGTAAGTAAAAAGTTTCCGAATGTAATGCATATGATATGTAGCTAGTCTAAACTTTGGAATTAAAAATCGATTTTATTAACTTTTTTAGTCTCTCGGTGACGTCGTGTTGTTCCTTTTTGTGTTTAAAACCGAAACACAAAAGGAGTATACCATCGCAACTTTTCCTTTGTTCAATACTTGAGCTACATTTTTGTGTACACAAAATCTCTTTGTTCAATTATCTTCGAATAAACCAATCTTAACCATTTTGTTTTTCATATTATCCGGTAAATTCGGAGTGAAATTTCAACGAAAAAAATTAATTTGGATGTTGAGATATGTGTTTTTTCAGTCACAAATTTACCGAAAACTGTTAACTGGTATGACCAACACAATTGGAGCCGAAAACAATAATGTTTGGGACAAACTTTGCACCGTTACAATTTATATCCGGGTTATTAGACTCTGGGGGAAAAAATGCTTGGGAGAAAATCTCACTTACCGATTGTGTTATCGGATTGCAGTGTCGTAGTGCTGCGAACGTTGCTGGTTATTTCTGTAAAACACACAAATCTGAGTTAAGCTTAATACACGTGAAACTATTCTTACTGTTCTAATTAATACATAATAAAAATTTGTGATGTTAATACCAACTCCTTTTGGTCTTTTCAAACCACAACGTCTGCCTTTTATATTATTGTTTGAAGGCTTTCGGACCCGATTTTCCGCTCGAAATGATAAAGAAAGCGTTCAGTGATTCTTAATGTTCCCAGAGTAACTTCCTATAAAAGCACCGAAAAGTTCAAGGTTTGTAATTGTTTGTAATGCCTGGCCAAAGTTCAGATTCGATTCTATTAAAATAACCCCGAAATAAAAGTGCACTGACCTGTAAAGAACACAGACGTTCAATTAAAAGTGAGGAAATACAAACGAGTGATTGCACTTTTATGTCAAAGTTCCACTACGATTAATACAAAGTTTATGGCATGGTTATAAAATGTTTTGCTGCTTTGTAACTATTGCTCGGTGTGTTTATTTTTTTTTGGAAACACAAGCTTTGTTGGTCAAATACGCCCGTCAACTGCAGACGATTCCTTAAAAGAGCTACTTTAAATAAACAAAATATTGTTCGGAAAATATTTTTTCAAGGCGCAACAAACAATACCAAATTTAGTAGAAAAATTCGATCGTTTTGTATCAGCATTAAATTTAATTTTACACATAAATAGCTTGTTGCGAGTATAAATACAAAATTATGTAAAACACTAACAATTTATCATCTTCTTGCCCTGTTAAAATTATAGAATTTTTTTATTTTATAGTAATAAAACACTGTAAGCTGCTACAACTATCAAAAGTTAATTTAAATTACTTATTCATACACCCATTTATTACGGTTTGCGTTCCATTAGAAAATGAAAATGTTGGTATGAATACTATACGCCTCAACTGCACTTAAAGTATGAAAATTTAAAAGGACAGCAAATGTTCTTTATGAATAAATAACAAATTTACTTAAGCCTAGCTCTAATACCAAATAATCCAGCCTTGTGCTACATAAAATCCAAGATTACCTAAAATTAAATTCGTTTCTGTTGTCGTCGTTGACGGTGTTGTCGTAGTGGTAGTCGTAGTGGTCGACGTAGTTGTGATTTTAATTTCTGCGAAAGAACTTTTAATGAGAAAAAAAAAATTTTGTTTGAACTTAAGTACCATAGATTCGAACTGACGCGTCGCTTTTTCCCATCGTGTTTGATGCAACGCACGTATAAGTCCCAATATCAGACTTATTGACGTTATGAATGGTTAAAATCATCATGACCTTATACCCTGACCTTTTCTCCTGTGTGGTGTACTTGAACCTGTAACCCGATAAAATCTTGCTACTCAACAGGTGTACCTTAAGGTGTCGAATGTTATATGAAACAAAATAACTTACCCGTTGAGTAGGACTTCATCTTGCTCTTTAACCCAGTAGTTGTTGGAGTTGGGAAAAGCTTCAACGTCGCATTTGAGCTTTACGTTAGAGAAGAGGGGAGCTCCCACCAAAGCTTTCTGAACTTGCACCTTTGGAGCGACTGGAGAAAAATTTAAGCTGATTTTTAAGAATCGATATCGAATTTTGACTATACGTTTTAATGAAGTTATAAATTTTACTTACAGCTCACCGAAAGTGTCACCCTTTTGCTGACAGCAGGTGGAACGTCGTTACTGGCGATGCATAAATAAGATCCCATTTGCTTACGATCAATTCTTACGAGTCGTAAAGATGGGCCACTGTATGTATCCACTGAAACAAAATCCTACTTTAAATGAAAGCTTAATAGAAACCTAAAACGTGATGTGAATCTGCATTAATAACTTTATAGCGGCCCGCATCAACCGAAATAATGTGCGGAAAATGGGTCTAATTGTGACGATTCTAGTAGAATATATGAAACAAGACAAGAAATAAAAAATAATTAAAAAAATTAATTTTATTTAATTGTGCCAGTGTAGTGATACTACAACTGAGAAAAAATAAATAGTGTTTTAAAAGCACTCAGTGTAAAGTGGAGTGATCTACTTCTGAACAATCTTGTAAATATTTTACTACATTATTTTCTGAACAAAAAACTGATGTAGACATCGATAAAATGAATACTTTTAAAACTTTTTGTTTAACAATTTAGATATTTTCGAACAATTTAGATATTCCAGTTAGAATATAAATGATGTGCCATAAAAATAAATACGTTCAGAAATTTACACCTAAATTAGGTCACAACTGGCAATTTAATAAATTTATTATTGGTTTGTTATATTTATGTAAACTTAATTAAAAATGGCTATAACTATTTTGTGACATAAAAAAAATAGTGTTGGTACATAATGCTTATTTCTTCACAGCTAAATTAGAAAAGGATTCAGGTTTTACGTTTATAGCCTATCGTAAAAAATCCAAGCGTCAAGAATACAAAAGACACTCAATAATCAAAAGTGACAGGTCGAATGGCTCCCTTCTTGCATCCAATTCCATTACAAGAGACCCAAATGTAAAATTTGCTTGCATGTATTTCAAGCAATAAAAATTTCAAATTCCAAATTTAACTAAAAAACGTTTTTTGAATTAAATACTTGAAAAGAATGAACTAAATGAAAATATTAATTACAAAAGAATTGCATTGAACAAAAATGTCATGTTTCGTTTTAATTTTTACATATTTCATTGAAAATTAGTTTTAACAAAATGAATTGCTTGGAAAATGGTTTAGTTTTTGAGAATTTATTAAATTAATAACTGCTTGACTGTAGACTTAATATTAAGAAAAACAAACCTTAATAAATATTAAGTAGATAAAGCAACAATTTTCTTCAAATCAAATTCAAAACTCGCCCTCAAATAAAACAACCAGTTTACTTTGTTTCCATGTAGCTCTTAAAACGTATAAAGTAAGTCTGATTTACGTCAACCCTTGCGAATTAGCTTTCAGAAAGCATATCTAAAGTTTCTTTGATGTATTCTCAACCATAAAAATCGTAGATTGACAAAATATGTATAAAATTTGCTACACTGAAGAGGTCATGTTTTCGGAACAATATACAGGGTGTTTCACACAACTTTACGAGGCTTGCGCCTAATGTACGTACCCAAATATACAAAAGTCAAAAAACTGGATACAAAAAATACACATAGAATTATTTATATTTTGGAAACCCATAACAGTATAGTTGTCCAACTAATCATTGTTTCATTAATAGTCATAAACTGCAGAAACAATTATGATTCGTTCGATTAAGAGATGGCATTATCTATCTTAATTACTAACTAACTAAAAACGTTGTGTTTTTTTAAAGGATGAACAAATTAGAGAAGATTATCCAATTTTTCAAAATTTGTAATCGAGTTCGTATCGGAATATGTATAATTGATTGCATCTTACAGGCGCAGGCCTCGTAAAATTATGTGAAACATAATATAGATTTTTCAGGATGTGATAATTAGAACTAATATTTCCCAATAAATTTTCACTAAACCCGTCCAATGTTTTCACTTGAGGAAACTAATAGAGCGGCTCTCTTAATTGAATTGTGGCTAGGTGAGCTTTCCAGAGTGTCTCCTTTTTTATTTATAGTTTAATTTTTTCTTTCGTGACAGAATCTCTGAAACGTGTCTGGAATATAAACAAATGGCGAGACTGAAAAAGTGTCTTAAACCAATTAATTTTAGCAAAAAACTCAATTTCTCCTCTCGTGTTTTGCCATCGAACAAAATTGGAATTATAAATCATCCAGATGATGCCGAACTTGTTTTGATTCAGATTAAATATTCTTGATCAACTTTAACGCATAGTCGGCACAAAAATGCTAATTTATATTTTCATGGAAAATATTTTTCCATGATCTGGGATTGTGAAAAATGGCGTTCTTTTGTGGCGCTGAGTCGGAACAATTTGTTCTTTGAAACTCTTAATAACCCCAAAAGAATATAGGGTTTCTTTGACCATGAGTTAAAAAATAAGAAAAAGGTGGCTTAATTTATTTCTCAGCTGACTTTTCAAATTATTTGGTATGAAATTATTGATTATATATATCATTAGAAAATATTTATACAATGCACAAACAAGAACCTCTATTAATCCTTAGCAATCAGGGTTGTGACACTTTAATTGCTAGCTGGTTGAAGCAGCTCTAGGGAACTTCTGCAGTGTAATTACAGAACATGTTATTCTAAATACGCATCTTTTGTGCGTGCGTTTCAGAAAAACAAGTACAGCTACATTTCTTCGGAAAACATCAAAACTCTTTTAGTTTTTATTTGAAAATAAAATAAACTTCCGAAAAAGACTACATTCAATAAATTATAAAAAAATATTTTATGATTTATTTTTATTTATGTATTATTTTAGTATTTCAATTATTGTTAATTAAATATGTAGGGCAGTATTACAATACAATGAAAACAAAAATTTATAGTTTTCTTTTCGTATTTTAACAAAAATAAACAAGTTTGCAAATAGCAGGAATGGCAGCTAACCAAACAATTCTATTTTCAATTTTGGAATATAATTAAGTGTATTAGGAATAAATTTGCAACTTAATTTTATAGCAAAAGTAGGTTTACTTACATTATTTCAAATTTGCATAGAAATTTTTACTAGGGAAAAAAATTATTCAAATTTTTATTTTAAATTATTTTAAGAATTGGTGAATGCGTCAGATAATGTTTATAAAATGTGCGTCTGTCTTATAAAATGTGTGTCTCTCTTATGTTGAAACAAACGTGCTTTTAAAGAATTTGATTAATTTACAATTCTCATCGAAAATTAATTCAGTAGCAAATCTTGAACGTGACAATTTGTAAAATAGAGGTCGATATGCCGAGTGCTGACCATAATTGATGAATTCTAGGACTTGTAGAAATCGTTAAAAATTTGCATGGGAAATTAATTTTCCAGTGAACAAATAAAGCGAATAGACTTTTGTTTTACATTGAGAGTCTAGTAAAAGCTAAGGTTTCAATAGTGAATTGAATAAAACAGCTGTTGTTGTCTATTTCAGCAGATTCTGTTATTTCAGTTAATTGTTTCATTGTATCGCAAAATCAGTTCGGGCTTTGAATCGGTAAAAATGCCTGAAATACCCGCGTAGTGAATAATTATGAAGCCAATTCTAATTAGCAAAGTTAATTAGCTAGAGCCACATTATTTCAATTGTGTTGCTTTTTCGAAATCATTTAATTAGTAAATTTAGAATAATGCTCTAAACCAATATAAAAAATTTGAAATTTAATTAGTTAATTAATATTCGTTCTTTTGGTGTGTAGTATTTCTCAAAACCATCACGATATTGTCTTTGGAACAATGATTTTCAAACGCACGACATAAAAGGGAAAAAATGTGAACGAGTACAAAAACAGGGACTCTCATTTACGGCCAAGAGTGTGTCATAAAACCTTTTTTTTGATCAAGATTAATGAACAGCGTGTGGAGAGATAGGGTGTAATTATACAAAAGGCAAATGGAACTCAACGGAGTGTTAAAAACAATTCCAAATAAAATTCCGATAATTACCTTTTTTGATGTCGTGTGGATTGTCTTGGAAAATAATGTGATCTCCATCTTCTCGTCGCCACAAAATACGAGGCTCAGGATGTCCGCTCGCGCTGCAGCTTAACGTGACATTATCACCTTCCTCTACAGTGACATCGCTGCTAGTTCCGGTGTCGTCAATGTCCGGTGGAACTGCAACATTAGATGCAATCTGATAAAAGACACGGCAATTTATATCACAAAATGTTTTATACATGTGTCAACATGTAAAGAACTGTTTCCTGGAGGTTAAAACTATAAAAAGTGTCGGTTATCTGTTTCAACAGTTTTTGTGGAAAAACGCAAGACAAGCGAAATTTTTGGCAAAACCATTAATCTTGTCATAATCTACTATTTGGTCACAGAAACTTAAAAACTGACGTTAACACAAGCAATAATAAAATAACTTTTAGTATTGTAATATTCCGAACCCCTTCACCATGCAAGGCGATGAGTATTTTTTTTTTATTTAACAACTGAATTTGCGTTTCCACAAACTACGGTATTAACATCTGGAAAAAATTCAACATTCTTAAAAATGTGGAGAGTCGCTATAAAGTTATATCAAATAAAGCCATATCAAACATCTTTAGAAATTTAGTGTCGAGCGATTCGAAATGCACAAATTTTCCATTGTAAATTTTATTTAAATTGTATTAATTTTTGTTAATATCAGAAAGGTAATGAGGGGAAACGTGTTGTAAATTTGACGTAAGTTGGAATTTTAGGCTTAATTAATTTAAGGAATTTGAATTGTTGTATAATAGGACGATATCTATCTTACTTTCAAATTCTCTAATAATCTATTTTGCATGGCAATTTAACCTTTTCGATAAACCTTTCCTTCTTTTCTTCTTCTTCTATCACCCAATATAATTTATAGGTTTACAAATGTATTAATTTAAGGTAGTTTTGAAAGACCTGGTTCAAATTTGTAATAAATGTAAATAGTTGCAAATTATTGTCGTCAGCGGATCAGCAACGTCTAGGTCAAAAGTCAGTTTAGGTAATTTTAATTAGCTTAAATAATAAGTTCATTTTGTTTAAATTTAGAGATTAACAAAGTCGTGGAAGAGTGGTACCGGAAGGGGGATTGTGTGAGAGAGAAAAAAAAAACGACTTAGTGAATTTTAGAAACTTCAATCGGGTTGCGAGTAGAGTCAAATCATAAAAAGCGTAAGTTTAGGATTTCACATCAAACCAAGCTTTTAATTTCTCTTGATTTATTTTAAAAGCATCGAAAAACCAGAACTTAGGAAATAATGAATAATTTATTTCTTCATTTTCTTTCTCTTTTGATTTTATTTTATTTGATGAAGTGAACTGACAAACAATCAGAACCAAGTTCTAATTATTTCATTTTTTTATGCTCAATAAATTTAAGTGTGGTTTAAAACTTGTGCTTTCTTTCTTACAACGCGGCCTCGTTATACCTCGGGTCAATTAGAATTTTTTTTTCTAATTATTTTCCTTTTGTTATTTTCGAGACATAACAAACACAACATAGGGCAAAAGGGTAAACTTTGGCGTCCATCATTCGGGGGTAGAACCCTTTGGAAAATTTATACCAGGTCAAGAAATATTACAGTATTAAAATTGGAAAGTTACAGATAGCAACTGTGGTAATTAGACATCCATTTCGTGAAGTCAAAATTAAAAAACGCAAGTCCCGAGCCAATTCAAGCGTTATCTGATTTGATCTCATTCTTTGAAGCTGCCAGAATGTTATTGTTAATATCCGGGGTCTGAGTCCAATTTCCATGCTGTTATAAAGTCAGAGCTCGTTGCCTGTAAATAGCCGGATTAAACTTGGGGATTAGAATATTAGTTATCTGTAAAAAGAATTTTTTATAATTTGGATAAAAAAGTCAAAATCGATTAGATGAAAAACTTGGAATCATCTCATGTGAACTGATGTAATAAAAAGTTCGTATTGTGAATCCTGAGGGTAAAACAAGCAAAAACTTAGTGGAAATATATAGGTTCTAAATCATTGTTGAAGTCTAAACTAACTAGTCAATTGCCACAGACATATGCTGCCAACTTTTATTGGCGGCATTTATTTTTCGGAAGGTTTACGACTCGAAATATCAAAGCAAAACCGCCAAACTTCGTGATAGAACAACAGGATGCTTTTGTATCAATTGTATCTCCGAAAAGTTTTCCTTCTGTTCCCTTTGCGTTCTTATCTCAACCCCTGTGCCTTTTGCATTTATAACGATACTTAATCATTTTAATAGGATTTGCACACAAAGAAATGCAATTAATTGCTGTGAGATTTTTGTTCTTAATGTGTGACAATATTGAAAAGTGCGCAACTTAAAACTCATTGAACACAACTTGAAAATATACTTCAATGGTGGTTAATTGTCCTTGCACTTTTGACGTTCATCCTGGAACACGTTTTCGAATTTCCAAGTTTTGTTGTTTTTGTCTATTAAAGAATCGACGTGAGAGGGTTTCAGAACTAAAAATTGTGTTTGTTGAGATATTTACAAAAGGAAACATATCAGAATTGTGTTTCGAATTTTGAGTAAATCATAGTAGTTAATGATTATGTATGCTTGAAATTATCTCCGTTGCAATATTGACAATCAATTATGTTCCGTCTTTTTATTAGCGACAAACCAATATTTGCACCAACCGCATTCCACGCCGTTATTGTTTCCCGTAATGAAAATTACAGTAATTGTTTTCTCAAGTGATTTGAAATTGCATGGCTACGAAATAATTCCACAAATAACGGAATTTTGAGTTTGGATATATGAGCATATTTTTATTTCTCAAAACGATAATTTAATGGAGTGTTCTTAATTGTATTGTTGTTTTAATTGCTAACTTAATCTGAGTTCCAAATCACTTTAAACCTAAAGCTTAGTTGATAAGACTATCGATAACGTAAATGGTAAAACATTTATTATTCCTCTCCCCGTATTCGCCTTTTAATGGCATAAATAAATTCTCTCGTAAAATTTAATTAACTTGCATCTTTTGCCTGTTTTTACATACACCAATAAAATCGAGAATATAACCCATTACAGGACCAAATTCATAAAACTATTTTCAAAACAAAATCTGAAAGCTTTTTAGATTCCTCGATGTAATCAGATTAAGTTTTAACCACTCCAATGTTTTGCTTTGAACTTTCAAGTGAGTACTAAAACTAAAATCCGTAATGCTCTAATTTGGTTGTAACAAGGACGTAAGTGGGCAGTTTTACACGCCTACATACCTTTTTACTCAAAATGTGATAACTTTATTTAATTACAAATTTGTCTCATATTATTAAAACTCTATAAAACATAAATTAACCGATCAAATGTTAATTTTTGCAAGAAAAATGAGTAAATTTAATTGAAAGCGCCATTGCTTTTAACACTAATGTTAATCTGCACTTGATTATATTACTTCGCTAAGTGAATACGGGAAGTATTATATTGTAGTGTAATGGAAAACCACCTGTTTTACTACAATTAAAACTTAAAAGAATCAAATTGTGTAAGTCTTTTCGCAGTCGTGGTGAATCTTGTTGCAAACCTAATTGTGTATCCCGGCGCCTCCACCATTTCTAAAAGTATTATCTTCTTGTGTTGCTTAATTGAGATTCTTCTCTAGGTGTGTCTAAAGTCTAGAGACGATTTCATATTCGGCAAAGATTCGAATCATCGCGTCGTAAATCATTCCAACTGATATATTCCGGCCCATTGTATCTTTTGAATGGCTAAAGCCACCTTTATAATGCAAAGCCTAGTTCTCGCCCACATTCACATGCAAACAGAGCACCTCGTTGCCGTTTATATTCAGTTATTCCGAAACCAAACCCACAATTTCTTAAGAACGGAATCAGGTGCGAAATGTCAGACACAGAAGAAGTGTAATTCACCTACATCTGGTAACCTAATGTTGTGCATACGACCGAAACTCAAACGTTGCTTTTATCGCTTGAAAATATTCCAATTTCCACACGTGTCATTTGGCAAAGAGATATGGGACCGAGGAGTCGTCTTATCTGGACCCGTGCATATCGAAAACGACGGTGATAATTCAAAATGTCAACTGCACTCCAAGTCTTATCATAGATAAATACTGGTGACTTGTTTAAAAACGGCTGAGGAAACGCCTGAAATGAGTACTAATCTCGAACGATAAAAAACTAAGCGGAGCTGCAGTTTAAGACAAACAAAGCGCTTCGAGGAGCTGCCAGAAGAGATATAATTAATTTCGAGCCGGACGGGATTTACGAATTTTGGATTCTTTTCAGGAAAAAACTCGTCCAATTCAAGCATTTCGTTGCGCAAACAATCAAATAAAAACAATCTTACCATTTGCTATATAAAGAATAAAACGAAATAAACGATACAGTTTTTTGAATTAACTTGAATATAAATAGACAACTTCAAATCTAATAGAAGTATACAATAAAAATTTGACGTTCTTAAAAAAAAAATTTTCTTATGCTAGCCCACATTTTCGTCTTCCCGTGGCAAAACAATAAAAATTACCACTGTTTAATAAAGCACAAAAGCTGATTTTATTTTGATCTTGTAATTTACTTCTTATTGGATTTTCTTGGTATGGAAACGATGAACAAAAGCACGATTAAACCCGTTACACCAAACTTTTATTTCAAACACAACGCGTTTCAACCACAAAGTGGTTATCCTCAGGTGAGTGATTTATCAATGTTAATGCCTTGTATACTAATTTTTCCGACTTTTACTTTCTCTGCCCCCAAATATCGAGTAGAGGGGAGAAAAGGGATAATAGCTATTAACATACCTAGGATGTAATGAATGTCATAACAGCTGCAAATGTCAGTTTTAAATCCGAGCGAGTTTGCGAGCAAGGATTTTAAGACATCTAAGGCTGTTATGACATTATTACATCCGAGGTTTGTTCAAGATTTTATCGGTTTCTGTCGAATAAGCTAAAAATTGGAACAGCTGCTTTTGGAACACTTTCAGTTTCAGTTCCGTTTTTTTGAATTAATTTGAAAACAATGTCAGTAAACGTCAACATAAAAAATCGTCTAAGAAAATTTAGAGATGAAACACCAAAAAAGGAACAAATTCGGCACCGCCAACAGTTTTTAGAAATTTGGAAACGGAAAGTCCAAAAACTACTACTTAAACGACGAAATGTTTTTTTCACTTTTTGTATCTGCAAGGTAAAAATGACATATCGATATTGAAAAATTGACATTTCAATATTGTAAAATTTTACAGCAATCAATAAGGTTATGCCATAGTTACCAGACTATTTTTGTGCATGTAACATTGCTCTTAACAGACAGAAACCGATAAAGTTATAAACTGAGTTTTCTCTGGTTTGTTTGTAAAAGTCGTGGAATTACTGACCATTTTTCTATACTTAACTTTCTGAACCATTTTGTTAATTATGTTAGTATCAAAACCATTACACTTCGCTGCATCTTCAATATTTTTGAGCTCTTTTTCAAACCTTGCATGAGTCAAGGGAAAATTAACAAATTAATTGTAAAGATTGTGAACAAAAATATATTGGGCAAACCGCCGATCAATTAACACTAGATTTAAAGAACACATTTTTTTAACATTTTAAGATATAACAAATTTAAAACATCAAGTGTGTCCCAACATATTTTTGAAAAAGACCATAGAATCAAAACAGAATCAATGAAACTAATGTAAAAAATATTAGAGTAGTCAATAATTGAAATTTCTTGACGCTTTCGAGAGTATTGAAACATGTAAAAATAGAGATAATCTTATGAATTCAGGCAAAGGCCTCATTCCATTTTCTTCCCTCTATTCGTTAGTTGAGGGTAGAGAAAGTGAAAGTCGGAAAAATTAGTATATATTCTCACCTGAGGATGACCGCTTTGTGGTTGAAACGCAATAAAAGTTTGATGTGACGGGTTTAATCGTGTTTTTGTTCTTGTAACTTTGTAAGATTTTCTACAATTATGCTTTAATTTTGGGTTAAAGTTCATTGAATCGAATAAAAAAGCTAGTAATTGTATTGTTTTGATGACAGTCATTTGTGCTAGCTTCGATATTATTTCTGGTCGTAAAACCCGGTGGTTGAAGGCGTACCAGTTTATGGACTATATCTCTATGTTATGACAGCAGGATACAGACGAACAGCCGGATAAATCGGTTGAGGTGGAAATTGGAACGTAACCCGTGTAACATAATCTCTCTTCACAGTTCCACTGTAAATTATATGAACTGGCTATGTCAGGCTCGCTTTTCCGCCGGAATTTAATTCAGACTTCTTTTGAGGTCGCACGACCGACAAATTTCAAGCCAAATACTGACGCTTGCAGAATTTTGCAAATATCATGATGTTCTTTTGAAATTTACAATAAACACGTTTTGTTGCAAGCGTTTATTTAGACTCAAGTCGCGTTCTCTCTTTGGAGAGATCAAATTATCCTGCTTTAGCAGAACTTTTAATGTATTGGTATAGTTTGGCGAGCTACAAATAAAATTACAAAGGTTATAAATGAGATGTGTTTTAGGTTTAGATTTCTGTTGACCGTGTCATTGATTTCTGATTAAACATTAATTAACCATTATAGACTAACCGGCAATTAATCCTAATTAGAGTACATGATTTGCTTCCTCGTCCTTTGTAATTTCCTTTTGCCACGTACATGAAATATCAAATAAATTACTTTGAAGAAAAAAATATATAACCCAAATGAATTAATTAGTATAACAAAATCTCCTTTAATCTCTTTATTTTCACTAAAAACATGCATGCTGCATCCACTATGCAAATAATCTTTTGTGAAATTAAAATTGGATGAAGTTTGTAATTAGAAATTAGGCGAAAGAGTTGGAAAGGATGGTAAAAAACTTAATCCCTGGCGTAAATAGCGAAGCTTGAAAAATACGAGAGGCCTTTAAACGTGCATAATATCTACCAGTCGTATTTTAACCCGAAGCGGATCTGTTGCAACATCTCTCATTTTAAAACTTTCTTTACACATTCCTTTTGAGGAGGCTTTACTTTTTTTATTAGCAAACGTTCTTTGTTTGTTTTACACCAACACAAATCCCATGTGATAACGAGAGCATATTTAAGCTTCTTTATGCAAAACCACAATTATACTAAAACAGAATTTGTTTATTATAAAAAACAACAATTTCAAAAATATGTTAATTTACCATGTGAAAGAAAATGAACCTAATTTAAATAAAACTTATTTTCTTAATGTCCTTCTGTACTTTTCAAAGAATTGAAATTCATTTCTACTGGGAAATACTCGATGATACTGCAAATGGGGACAACACAAAGCATGTAATTTCAGTTGCTGAAAATGGGACCATTAAAGTTTCAACTAACAATAAATTCTATGTACATGCTGGACGAATAAAAATTCCAAATTTCAGCTCTACTCAAAATAAATATTTTATTATCGCTCGCCTGGACGGGATATATTGGATTAAAAACACACAAAACATAAAATATTTGTATTTTTACGATTGCATTGATAATTTTACCAGAAAATAAAACAAAACAGCTTGGTAATGTTTGTTTTCAGACTCGGATCTAATTCTATAAAATTAAAATAAATAATAACAAAAATTTTGTATGTATAGTTTTCCGGTTTTTGTCTGGTTTCTCATCTGTCTTTGATTTTCCTTGCAATGGAAACAACAATACAGAACAAATTGAACAAACCTTGCACATCGACACATCCCAGCTGCTTTTTCATTTCTCCCGTGTTGATCTGACACATATAACAGCCACGATCCGATTCCTTCAGCTGGCGAATTCTCAGCTGCCAAGTGCGTAGACTGTCATCGTGCGTGACGCTTATTCTGGGGTTGTGCGTGATGACTCTTGTATGCAGACTCAAAATTGTCTGATCGTCGGCTTTCATCCATCCAACCTGCGAAAAATTCGCGTAAAATCACCCTAGATACTCCCATTAAAAAACAATTAGCACATCTTAAAACTGACTTCTTAAAATTTTAATTAACAGTTCGCGCTAACTAGGAATTGAAACTCGAGTATAATATTAAAAGTTGGAACAAAGGTTTTTTAGTGAAGAAAAATTTGCGACTGGTGCAACTTTTGCGAGTTCATTACGGCATTGTGTGTTCTAGAAGTTTTACTCAACTCTAGTAAATATTTTATGCGAGAAGTATATTACATTGAGAGCAGTTTAAGTCTGAATTGCGTCTGTTAAATTCACATTTTGAATTCTTGTTGAAGTGGTTTAGTGCCACTGGAATGTGAGATTGCATTGTTATAGGGGAGTTAGGTGAGAGTTTACACGAGGAAACCGCAAATAACACCACAAAAAACTTTACAAATTAAAAAAACTTTCTTTTTGAAACAAAATTCTGGCTGTTGAAAAACGTTTTTGTATGGAATAGCGAGCCGGTAAAACATCAAGTCCGTGTACGCAAATTGAATTATTCGAGTTTTGAATTTTGAACTTATCAAATTAGGAAGTTGAAGCGAATTCACCTGTACGTCTAAATTTTCACAGTTTAGCAAAGTCAAGTTCGAACGCGTATAAACTGTGAGTGTATGAACATGTGGTGGTGAATCGGTTGCCTAACTCTCCATAGACCAACTCCACTAAAGTAATTTGGATCCAATTTATCTGTTTCAAGAAGAATAGAAACTGGGCCCTCTTGTCCCTTAATATAAGCAAACTAATTCGAAGTTAGCAGTGCGAAACGACTATACATTAATTAATTATTGGCAGGCGTCTCGGGAGTAGGGTTCAGACAATGGCTCTTTAGGGAAAGAGAGAATCATGGAACAGGTCGAACCTCAATGACGACCTTCTATGCCTCTCCGCGTTGTTAAGATTCATCTCGTGTCTTAATACTGTACTAACTACCATTCGTGCACGCCAAACTACCATTTCTAATTATCAATTATAAAATCATAACACCTTTCTCCAAAGAGTTTCACGCCTCGATGAATTCCTTAAGGAGATCCTTTACAAAGCAAATAACTTGATTGAATTTTTCAACCAACAATGTTTACTCACGAGAAATTATGCCATTTCGGTTTAAACAAACAGAAAGACGAATCTAATCACTTATAACCAAAAGCACACTTTCTTCACCCTATTTTTAGACTCGCTTTCAGCAGATGCTCTTAAGCTACGTGTTGACAACTTTCAATTATTTTTTTTTATAAAACTAGCTACATTTTATCTATTTTTTGGAACAAATTGCATCTCTACGACTTTCCATTCTTGGTAAAACAGCACTTTATCTTCCACGTTAAATTACAAGTTTCCTCATTTTCCATTCAAATTATAGTCACGTGTTCCACTAATCTTTATGTTCATACAACTATAGTCTAGACAAAGCAGGACAATTACTTGTATCAAGATAGAGTACCTACGTGTAGCTTAGTAATTTTTTTAATTGCTTGGCATTTTGATCTTGGTTGTTTTTATTAGAAGATGATTTAAGCATGTTCTGGCATAAAAGAGGAAGTAGAGGCATAATATATGTGATATACTATGTTAAAATCCCTCAGGATTTTATCGCAGCGCCAATCCCGAAAGACCGAACTGAAAGCTTTATGCCCGAGTCCACTTTCTTCAGTGTCATAAGTCGCGACCCTTGAAAGATTCTGGACAACAGCCGGTAATAAAACAAAGCACCTTGAAAGTCGATGAAAAAGCGTCCTTAATTGTTTCATAAATCTGTGATAAAATTTTCATAGCGCGACATGCGCCATTATATTCCAGCTTGATATTAGTAATTGTTAGTGATGAAATTTGTGATTACAGTTGACGGAGCAAGACAAATAAAATTACTTTAATGACGTAGGGCGGATTTGATTGGATGGGAAAACTCATGACCCGTTAACATCACAATTTTTTTCCATCCAAGGGAATCGTTTAATTCACCGAGTTGTAATTATTGCCATCGGACAAAAACTGACAAAAAATATGTACATGTTAATAACAGTACATAAAATTTTATTGCTTTCTCACAAACGTGGACGCGATTTTTTAATAGGATTTGGCACGCTCGGATTACGCATTGTGGTGAAACAATGAACGGTTAATTATAAACGAATAAAACTAATACGAGCTTTTGTTGAATCAGATCCCTGGATTTCTACGGTTTGCTGAATAAAAGATTAAATTAATACATTATTAAATACATTAAACGGGGCATTTTTTAAATTATTAAATCGGGTTTTTGGTTTGAAATTAGTAAAACTACTGGCAAAGTAAAAAAAACAAACTCAACTGTTTAATTTAGTAGGTATAGTCGCCTATCACTGTCAGAATTAATCCTTTTAAGTTAATTGAAATAGAAATTAAGAGATAAATGTATAATCTCTCATTGAATAAAATTGGATTAAACCAAGTTACAAAATTAGATTTAGTTTTAAATTTGCTCTCTTTTGTAATAAAACATAAAACGTTTGTAATTACTTTGAAATACCTGTGCTGAAATAATTTTTTTCTTGTCTTTTCAACTTTGTAACAAACATTTGTAGAATTTGAGATAACGGTCAAGATGATTTATTCCTCTTAATAGAACTTGGGCAAATTACGAGTAGTTTGCGGTACTTAAATTCATGAAGTTTGTTGTCATCAAATTCTCTTCACCAAACTAATGTTAATTACACGATTAACCAACTCATTTTTGCTCCTGTTTGTTGACTAAAATTTTGAACCTACAATAACAATTAATCATTGTAACCAGCTGAGCTAGTCAGTTTCTACGCTGGCAACATAATATATTTTATATCGCTTGCAGGTATTGGATATCTCTGTGTTGTGTTTGTTGTTTGGCCGAGTTAAAATCGGAATTGGATGAATAATTACTTTACTACTGTATTATTTTGATTATGAATTAATCTTGTCAGACGTAAAAAATGAAAGAGCTAGTTGATGGATTATCCACATCTAGAATATAATTGAATTTTTGACAGGCGCCGATCATTTATTGCAAAGAGTGACGATAACATTGAACAAATAAAATAAAAAATATTCGTTTCGAGCCTCGACGGAGTAAAAAATATTTTTAGACAATAAAAACGATCATTTACCTTGTAATGTCCCAGATCTGTTACCGAACAACTGAGTACTGCCTCCCTTCCGATTGGAACGGTAACATTTTTTATAGGTCCTGCGAAATCTGGCGCTTCCATTGAAAATTTCAGCGAAGTGGCACTCCCTCCGGTTAAATCCTCAACTGTAAATAAAATTGAATAATACGCATGTTGTCTTGGAGAGAATATAAATTTAGACAAGATTAAACCTAACAGGATTTGCAACCCTTCCGTCCCTGCTATAAAGACGCGGTTTAGTGCCCTTCTGAGAGCTATTGATGCTGAGGTCAAGACTGCTCACTTGCCGACTTGTTCACTATTTACCGCAACGTTGACAGTGTAGATAAGTGAACAAACTAATTCGGCACTTAGTACGTTTAAGTATTCATAAGAGCCGTACTTTGCTTCAACGAAATAACTAGGCGTTTTACATGCATATATTACAAAGAACGAGATGTGTTCTTGTTTCGTGAGTGCTATTTTACATACGTGTTAATTTTTAATGCGGCTTGTCTGGGGTAGAGCAATTACGATGCTGGATGGGCTCGATTCATGATCTCATTTTCATTTTGTGCTGCGGATTTACTATGTAGGTTTATGCACTGAATGCAATCTCAATTCACATGGGATGATAATTATGAATGAGCAAATTTCTAGTTAGAATTTCGAATACAGTAAACAGCCGTTTCAGCGGCTCTTGTGTTTGAACACGGTTATCACATAAACAAAGCATGGAAGACGTAAAACTTAACCCATCAATTGCAATTCTTAACACTTAAAAAATATCGTTATAATTAAACAACAGGTCAGTCAATCCATACTTCCACGGGTGAAAAAATAATGATGCTTGTCAAGCTTTTCATTATGTTTTTACATTTCTAGAGGTAGGAACTCGAAAAAAAAACAAATTAATGTTGCAAAACTAGGGAAGTATATCTAGATTTTTTAGAAGTGTTTAAATCACACATCAAACACGATGCAATCTATGTATAAAAATGATCTACAATAGTAGTTTGAATTCAATTAGTTATTTTTAGCATTTCCAAACGCTGATCGACACATATAATACATTCATTTTTCGAGTGACAATACCTTATTTGAAATCTTTCGTAGAGTTCCTCGAGAATATTAAGTTGTTGAGTTATAATTTTTTTGTATTTTAAAAATCGAAAAACCAAAAATGTAACTCTAAAAAGATGAAATAGATTTCATGTCGATATCTCAAAATTAATTGTTTATATAGGGTTATTTATAAATATGAAGCAACATTTGAACCTCAAAAATGAACTAAATGATGATAAATGATGTTAATTTCAATAATAACTCGTGTCCTATCTCTACTAATAAGAATTTTACAGCTCTCGAAATGTGGGTATGTAAATTTGTTTTTTTTTGTAATAACTTTGGAACTAATTGATCAAATATTATATTATTTGGAATAGTTACTTGCGAAATAATACTTTTTAAACTAGCAACTACTCAATTTCCCGTTCCAGCAGTTGCAGGTCACAATTTTCTGGGTTTTACCGTTTTTTGGCCTCTTAACACTAATTTTTTATTGCTGAAATCGATAGACTAATTAGTTTTGAAAAAAAAACCGCATAACCCTTTATACCACTAAAATGGACGGTTTTAAAGATATTTTAATTTAAAGTGAAAACTGCACAATGCTGAAAATGAAAAATATGAATTTTAAATTAGTGGTATCTACGGCAATCGATGACCATGGTCACATAAATCGTTGCCAGATATCTGTTAACTTTGACGATAAATTTTTTTAATCTTTTATGAATTAAATGCTACGAGATCCATTTGTATTTATTTTAAGTTATGTTTGGAGTCTGAGGTAAAATCTTTTATTCAATATTTTCGATTAATCGTCTAAAAATCGTCCAATCTCCAGATGCCTGACAGCAAGTTATGTGACCATTCGTTGTCGTGGATATCACTCATTCAAAATTTATAATTTTTGCTTTCAGCGTTGTGTTGTGTAATCCTCACTTTAAATTAAAGCACCTATTTTTAGGGGTATTAAAGATAATGCGTTTTTATTCAAAATTGATTAGGTACTCTATTGTCTTGAGCAATAAAAAATTAATGTTAATAAGCCAAGAAAACGGAAAAACGCAGAAAATATGACCTGCAACTGCTAGAAATAACTAATTCAAATTTTATAGTATTAGGTCAAATGGTTCCGAAGTTATTACAAAAAGACAAACAAATTTCCATACCCACATTCCGAAAGCTGTACAATTCATTCTTATCAGTAGAGATAGGACACGAGTTATTATTTGAATTAACATCATTTTATAGGTCATTTTTGAGGTTCAAACATTGCTTCATATTTATGAATAACCCTGTACATACGAATAAAACTAACGAAGATATTACAAAACGCCAAATACCATTAAAATATATTTAAAAAAAATTTAATTGCACATGCTTAAAGCGAATTTAATTTTTATACTCGTAGATACTTACTTATTACAAATTTTTGTCAATTACGATCAAATAACAAACCAGAACAACAATGTTTTTGATCATACGAATGTATGATCGACAGGCTTTGAGAAACCCGAAAAACTCCTTCTAGTACAAGTAAAAGTTATGAACTATGTTATGAAACTACAAATTTTTGCCAGATAATAATGTTTAATATGCATCGTTTTATACAATCTTTTTCTAAAAGATATAAAGAGTTACGAATAATAGTTCCGAAGTTATTGAATAAGTAAAAACTTTAGAATCAAAGTCTTTAATACACTTAAAAATGTATAAAACGTTTGCCGGTTAAACTAAAAAAGAACTATTTGTTGGAAACGCGCATTGTACTCGTATGTACGTAAAAAAGTAACATTGTTTTTAACATTGTTTATAAAAAAACGTTTTTATTATGCGATTTTCCATATAATATTTTTCAAACATCGTTGCTTTTCGCAATTTTGTTAAAATTTTTCTGTGGCACTTTTCTTCGATTCTTATGATTCATGACGTTATCTTTAGCAAGCAAGAGTCTTTTTGCATCAATTGCACCGCCTGCCTCCAGCATTTAGTTCCGATAATCCAAATTTAGTTGACAGGGTCGGAACTAATGCATTTCTGTGCTTCGAGCACGTTTCGTTATAGTCCCACATTCTTTTTCAATCCAGTTAGGCCCATTGTTGTGGTAAATTTATTAGACTATTCCAGTGTTTGTTACTGATAATTAATTTAGTCTATTGTGGTGGTGGCGAGAGTGGCTAGCTATTGTTATTGGCCTTGTTAGGTAATGTCGAATATATGACTTTGTCCTGGCACTAATAAAGCAAGAAGCTTTATGGTGGAGGAACTTGAGGAGCAGTAAAAGATAAGTTGTATTAAATTCGTGTCTTGGGGTTTTAGAAGTCATCTGAATGTGTGGGGGAGTCGTAAAAGAAGTATTTTTTTGGAGGTTGAAATCTCGGTAATTAAATTACAGACGTCTTCTAATATCTCTTTTAAAATGGTTCGGGATAAAGTTTGAAGTTGAATGATTGCTTTCTGAAGAGCGTTTTGTGCCGCGTATTGAATTAACTCATTTACATTATTCCAGAGGAACTCTACTCTGTTCTAATAATTCTTGATTATATTTTAATTTGTTCACAAATTGATTGGTCCCATGCTACCCAATCTGTCTTCATGAAAGATAAATGGAAAAAAGTGATTTTCCTTCACACAATACCGAAGTCACTTTGCCTCAGCTGCACACTCCAAATTATTAAAATTCCAACGCTTTTCATTTCCAGAAACTTATGTATTTGTCCAAGGATACTTTTTACATAAAACCGGATTAATTCACTCAAGTGTACATCCATATTTTAGGATTTTTTGTCGTAAAAAATTACCCTAATGTGGAGGAAAAATGATATATTTATGGCAACATTTCACGTTCTAAATCAAATAGAACTCTTATGCCCGTTCAACGGTTTATTTATAGACCATATTTTCCCACCCTTTGAGTTACACCAGCATTTATTGCCCAAAGGATTTACTAGCGATTTTGAGTGATGGGTTTGCAATATACAAATACCATATTTTACGATTTCCCAACTTTTGCAAACCATAATTTCAAAAATATACGTATTTTAGAAAAAAAACAATTTATGGCAAAGTGAAACCAAATAATTCAAGTCAGAAAAAACGAAGGAGCGATGTTTCAAATGGAAAAGATCACTCACGAAAGACCTTAATATGTGATGAACGTATTAAACATTGAAGACCGACCGGTAACAACAAATAATTAATAATCCTCGGGCTTGTGAGTTAAATTTACAAAGAGAAACCGAGCTCAAGAGAAAAAAAAAAATGTAATAGGAGTTTAAAGAAATTGTTGGAACTCTCAAATACTCCAGAATGTGATAGTGGTTTGTTTAAAGCCCAGGCAATAATAATTAACTGAATGTCTAATATCTGCCAAATAAATCGGAATTTGAACAATTTAATCAAATTGGATGTATCTTGGTCCTATTCTTAGCATTGTCCTACTAATTAGTGGATATTTCTAGTCATCTAATATATTTATTTTTAGAGCGGCGTCTACTAATTAAAACGACGCTTACGCTAGAATAACACTGCAAAATTGTGTCATATTTTTTGTTTGAAGCAATTCCTGCTTTAATTGCGTTAATTACAAGTTTCGAAAATAAAAGACATTCTTATTCAAATTGCATTGAACTCTTTTCGGGCTACCAGTAGCTGCCATGGTAACAAATTGATGTTTTATTAGAAACTAATCCTCACTCCGGAAAGATGCGATAGACATCCACTTCCATACAATTTTATAGGGACGGAAGAGATAACACATTTACGATTCGAACGTTTGTTTGATGTTTGCTGTCCCATAGCATTGTAAAAGTTAAATTCAAATCCGATTTTATTACGGATTCTAATTAGTTACTCACCTTTAAGAGAACTCGTCCCGTACACTAAACCAATCAATAAAAAGCACAACATTGTCTTTAAACTTTTCTAATTAACTGTCAACACCCATTTTTACTTATTCATCAAACAAATGTCTAGTGTTCATAAACGTAACATTTTCAATTTGAAATGAAATTGATTGCCGAATGGCAAGCTAAGATTCCATTCTATAATAAAAGGAACCTGAACGAAAAAGTTTCATAAAGTTTAAAAAATGAATATTCCAATATAAAAGCAATCGACAAACTCCGCGTTCAGTTTTGTAAGCCTCGAAATAGGTCCTCGCTTATACCTATATTTATTACAGCGGTCAGCAGGAACGTAATCCTGCTATTTGGCCGATCGGTATACAAACACCTTTCAAGAAAAATTAACTCTCTCAAACTTAAAAACGAGAATTATACATGTCTACAGCTGCATAAAGATTTATCGCCGCTTTTTGTCCTGAAACTTTTGTCATAACTCAAAGTACAAAGAGATTTAAATTCTTAAATAATTGAACATCCACTATTAACTTTTAACTCAATTCATGTAAATTAAACACCCGTTTGATTTATCGGTTTATATAAAAGTTTCGTGTAATTAAAATTTCGAATGAAAAATTTTTATTCTCAACTACATCTAGAAATGGCGCGCTCTAATAAATCAAAACTCTTTTATTTACTTCAACTCGAAGCAGATTTTTTTGAATTTTTACACTCAACCGCTAATTACAACGCACAGTCCGAAACAACTCCATCAATCACTTTTACACTGTTTCACTGGAAGGCGTCGTGCGTGTCGGCTCTCTTGGAAAAGTTTCGAGTACGTGTGTTGCCGGTTTCCGACGCAGTACTGACCGCGATCGTCGTCGCGACGCTTACACAGACGCCCATGCGCTGATGCACAAAATCTTTGTTCCATATCACCACAAGATTGTCTAAAAACACACAACTGATACCAAACAGCAACCCTTAAAGCAGATTTTTCCAAAAATTTTTAGGTTTCGTTGGTGGCAAAGAAAAAAAAGAGATCAAAATGCATTTTGGTTAATATTTAAGCATTCGAAATAAAAAGTTTTTTTTCTAAAAATTATTAAACTGGAATGCAAATCAGTTACTTCTGAACGACATGAAAAATTCCGGTGGTTTAGACAGATTAAAGATTTTTTAACAGTTTTATGCAGAGAACACTTCCGACACTATACGTTTAAATGTCCACCGGAAATTTGCAGATAAGTAGAAACCACGATGCTAAGCCGAAGTGACATATAGATAAAATGATTAATTAGAGATCGGGCGTTAATCCGCTACTGAAAATGTTAGAATGTTTGCTTTCAATCCATTATGTCATCAAATCCGATTGAGCTTATAAACATTTGTACTATGACAACATTGCATCTAACTTGCTTAGGTGTTTGTTATTGCAATCAAAGTGTTAATATGAAATTGGAGCTTGAATCAGATAAGGTAAAAAAAGTGATATGCCTTGTACAAATATCTTTCTTCTCGAACGACTTTTATTCTGAAGTAGAAATTGTTTACTTTTAATTAGTTTACGAGATGTTGAAAAAGCTGTGTTTGCTTAAAGAGCGGTAATTAAAGAGCGTCGAAGCAAATTTACAAATGCCGACAAAAATCTGTTCCATCGTTCTTTCAAAAATGTAACAAAAATTGCGTCTTAATACAGGTATGTTTTCTTTTCTTGGTAATTATCATAAATGGGTACGTTGAGAAAAACGTAAAGCACAGATAAGCGAAAGCTAAAAATTTTCAGTGGAATAAAGTTACGTTAAAGCAATTGGGCGTGGTTGAGAAAACTGGGAATAATTGATAGTGCAAAACGTCAGAGGGGTAAAGGAAATGATGTATTTTTACGGCCACGCTTATCCAATATTTTTTTGGTGTAGCGAGGAAAACAAAACGAGCACTTTTTTCGCGATAAAATTATGTTTTCTTTCGAGATATTTCCGCATTTTTACTTTGGAAATTTATAAGTAACGCGATTAGCTTCCAGCTACGTCGCGGACGAGCACGCAGTTATGAAACAATTACTTTTTCAAGGATGTTTAAGCCAAATTTTATTTAAAAGTCATTATTGAGTTGAAAAAAATGAAATTATTCCTCTGTGACATCAAATATCAAGAGATTTTCTGTTTTGTCTGTGATTAATTCGGGTAATGCTATAAAAGAAGCTCATTTCGAATTGTTGAAACTCTGCGCTCTTGCTTATTATAATAATACAGCTTGGTGCAGGTTAAGTTGAATTATCATTAGAGGAGCAAGTGACACGGATGAATAATAATCAAAAGGATTTAATAAGTAAGCAGAGCAAGAAATTTAATCAGCCGCCATCTGGCGGCATTAATTTAAAATAATCTATGCCCAGAAGCTCCGCATGACATGGCATGCACCCCTACGATAGATGTTCAGGAAATACAGGCGACGCAAGAAGCTAACGAAGGATAAACCGAAACTTGTACACTAATTTCCGGCGAGAAGGAGATCCAAGCACCGACCTGACTACGTGTCACGTTCCAATCCGGTCGGAACAAACCAAAAAGAGACGTTTGAGAGAACAGAAACAACTTCATACGACAAACACGCATTGAAAGCAGCAAGTGTCGTAACATTTGCATAGCGGCACTATCTTAAGCTTGATAATTACACTGTCTGCCGCTGACAACAACCTTTTTGCTTGTATCTATAAATTGGACGCGATCGTCTGCATGAACGTTTAATGTCGTTCGCTTTTCCTTAAATGTTTTTCGTTGCGCAGGATTGTTTTCATAATTTTATGCCGAATGCCCGGAATTCCGGACTTAGAAACGGTTAAGAGGCAAAAGTGCGAGTATCATCACGAGCAACTTGCATTTGCGTCACAATGATGCTATTTACTGTAAACGAAGAATTTTGAACTTTTTTATAATTTCTGGAAATTTTTGTTGGCAGTTTACACAATAATAATTATTAAAGAAAGATGTTACTATGTATGTCTAAAATAGGGTTCAAATATTTCCAATATGTTTAAAATTATCGGTAGACTTACACACCGGCTGTCCCAGTGAATTGAAAAAGTCTATTAGTGACCTTCAAATGGTAAAATAAATAGTTATTTATTGTAAGAGTGTGTTAGGTAGCGTTTTATCTACGCAAGAATGTTTTATCTACGCAGTTCGAGCGGTTAATTTTGTTAAGTGGATAAAACGCGACTAACACACGACTGCAGTATAACGTTTTATCCACAATAACAGGCCAAAATTATTCCAAACTTAATTAAAAATTGAACTGACATTTAAACTTCACGCCAAATGTGGTTTGGGTTAAACGTAGTAAGCTGTTACGCAGTGCGCTGGTTACTAACAGTGGAATAAAGTTACTTTATTCCACTAGTAGATAAACTGGTACTTGATACGCATCTAAAGTATTGAATAAAATCTCTTAAATTTAGATATTTTATGATTGAAAATCTCTGTTTGCTGTGATATTTTGATATTTTACGATAAAAAAGCTCTCATGCTTTTATGCTTATACCGCTCTTATTCTTAAGTTAGCCGCTCTTATGCTTACGCCGCTTTTATGCTTATGCCGCTCTTATACTTATGCCGATTATGCCGCTTTTAAGCTCTCTTATTTTACGTACATGTTTTAAATTTCGCGCTCTTATCCGCCCGCCATCTTTTAACGCTTATTTGAATTATTGTTTGAATTTGAATTAGAGAAAAATTGTCGACTTTTGGGGGATTCGAACCCGAGACCTACCTGCCGGAAGTAGTGACCTTATGTCATACGCCACCATGGTCCCGACATGTTATTCAGCTGTACTCTAATATATTCATATAAAAAAAATTAAATTTTTAATTTTTGTGTTTTACGACGTTTTATGCACTTCTAGACCCCCTTAATTAAACAATTTTGAAGTTTTCAATTTTTGACAAAATTTTGGTAGATTTTCGGTATTTAGAGCGGCCTATTGCCAATAACTCTGGAATTATTGGCGCTAGCCTTTTATGTTTGGCTCCGTTGGAAAGCAAATTTAATTTTCTATCATAAAAAGAAAGTTTATTGTTTCACAATAAATAGAGGTCCAGAAAATTGCTGATAATATCAAAAATATGTAAAATATAAATACGATTATAACTTCTAAATTATTGCGAATTTTGCAGTTTTTTTGACGCCAATCGACTACCCAGAGCATTTTACATATGCATAGTTTAAAACACAGGGTGTTTTGTTTTTATTGTTACAAATTTAAACAGATGACAAAATATTCAATTTTAAGACAAAAGTTCTATGAATATGTAACGAAAAATACTATGTAAAGGAGCTACGCCTCCTGAAAGGGGTGTTTTTTTTAATGCTTATTTTAATATTTTAGAATTAATAAAATATAAATTTCGGTATAGCTGATATCCTTTATACTTACACCTAAACAAGATAATTTTTTCAATTTTCAAATATTTGGCTAATTTAACATTTTTTTTAAATTAAAGCAAAAAATTGCAATAATATAATTAATTTTAGACAAAAAATTAATTAAAAAAAAACTTTACAACGACGTTAAGAACATTCTATGGCTAAGTTTATTATTAATTTATTGATTATTATTAACTAAAAAAAAGTTATTTCTTTTTAATTGCCAAATGTTACAAGCGTTTTTTTAACATGAGTTGAGAGAACTTTTGTGCAAAATTATACTTTAAGAACAATTTCTTTGAAATCACAGAAAGGAAAAATTTATGTTAATTGAAGATGGTTGTTGAGGGAACTACGTATCGTTCCGGTTCATTTCTCCGCGTTGTAGCGCATGGTGCGGTTTAAATTTGCGGATATTCGTAAACCGGAATGTCTTCTGCTCGATAAATCTGCGACTTTCGTCCCGGACCATTCCAAGGAAATGTAAGTTAAACGTTCCTTCTCTTTTGTGTTTCGCATCTCTCCATTGCATCAAAATTAAGTAAAATGTTATGTAAGACGTGTCCTAATGACCGTTTGTGTATTTTTCGCTAGTGAAACTCCAGTTTCGTGGTATGTATGTGATTATCGTTGGCGTCCTCCGGGGGCGCTTACGCTCTCCCGCAAACACCCCTATAAAAACTGACTCTTTCACGGAAAACATACAAACTTGCATGACCCTCAAGGGCAGACGGCGGTAATAACGAACTTTTATTGGCTTTTTGCCTTCCCACTACTTATCTGATTTATTACATCGTCCGGATTAGCACAAATGTGCCGGAGGTTAGAGTGCACTCGGAGATGACAGGAAACGCCTTCTGCCAAAAATTTAGATTTCAATAAAATCGACTTGGGAACAAGTGTCGTAAATATGAAGTGGCGAAGTTTTCAATCTTTGCAACTTCAATCGATAAAGCTTTTGATTTTAACACAAATTTCCGAAAATTTCTGTCTTTCATGTCGGATGAGTGAAGCCGCAAAAGCGCACATTGTCATCAAAGGAGATTAAAATAGAGATATGTTTGAACAACGTTAACCGTGACTGTTAATGACGGACTTTAAGGTATTATTGCAACCGCAACCAAATATAATTTTGACAAAGTATGGATGGAAATTAGCTGGAACAAAACAGAATCGACATTGTCACATTCAGTTTATTTAGTACAATACGAAATCACAGGTGTATCCGAAATGCGGTGTAATAACTGATAGCAAACAAAAGCAGATTTTAATTATAGCTCAGCATTTAATCATTTGGATGATTTGACCAAAATTATAATAGGACGACGTGAGGTGGTTACCGATTTATCGTAAGCTCGCTATTTCCATAACAAGGTATGTGGTTGATAGGCCGAGGCTTCACTTAGTTTAGTTAAGCTC